AAAAATGTATTTCAAAAAAGTTATAAATTAATTCCCATTTTCATAAACAAAAATAAGTATTTGATCCCTTTGCAAATTGTGCTTTAGCACTTGGTCGCAAAACATTTGTTGGGAACCACAGAGGTCAGCTGTGTCTTGTATTTGGCTAAATATTTTGCACACATCTCAGGGGGGATGTTGTCCCACGCCATTTTGCAGATCCTCTCTATGTTTTGTGGTGGAAGCCAGAAATCTCGCTGATTGATCAAATACTTATTTGCATTTTCAAAAAAAAAATCAGATTATTAAATGAAATAAGTTTATAACCTTTTTGAAATGCATTTTTCTGGATTTTTTTATAGACTGATAATTTGTTTGTTAGTGGGCAAACTTACAAAATCAGTTCACTTATAGACTAAATTAAAAATCAGCAGGGGTTCAAATAATTTTTTCCAAGACTGTACAAGCAAAAGATGATCTAGGCGTTGTCACACCTTTTCATACTTGCCAAAAAGCAACAGTTGCTATCCGTCAGTGTAGTCCCAAATTACTCTTTTTATGGACCATTTGACATTACATTGTGTTTCATGTTCACAGCAACAGCTTCTAAATGCAAGTGCCAAACTTGGAATCAACTCCAGACCTTTCACCTGCTTAACTGATTGAGAAATAATTAAGAAACAGCCCCAGCCTCTCCATGAAACACCTTTGGAGAAAATTCTCTAATTACATTTGAGCCCCTGAAAATTGGGCACTTTCACTGAAAATGTTGGTCAATCCTCAAAGGTCATGCAGCATTGCTGTGCATTGCTTTGAATCAGAGCGAAGAGTCTGCATTTTAATTGCGTCTCTATTGTTTCTTTCAAAATCTATTGTGGTGTCTCATGTGAAGCCAAAATTCTGAATATTCTATCACTCTGAAAACATTTCTGAACCTAAGTGTATGGCTACTGTAATGCTTACAATGAAAACTGAGAACTTTCTGTAGGCAAAAACGGTTGACCTACTATGACAGTTGCAGGGAAGTGAATATCAAATTACAAAACCCTACCCTTTGTTAACAACAAATGTTAGGGTTAAATTCTTTATACGAAAATAAAAGTTGTGCAAGGGATTTGATTTGAAAGGTAACAAATCCAGCGCATGTCAGTAGACTGCAGACTGCTGTCAACTGGGTTTTGTTTTTTTGCCCCTCCCAGTTTGAACGAGTACTGTAGAACAAACATGTTTTAATGAGTCAAGCGAGATCAAAAAAATGAAAATGGCTGTGGGGTTTCTACTACTGTTTGGGCCACATTCAGATCCACTCCCAAGTTTTTCCCTTTATTTACCGAAGGTATCAATGCCAGATGAGAAGCATCCTTTTACTCTGGAAGAGGCTGTTAAAGTTGGGTCAGTGAGTCAGAGAATGGTCACTTCTGACCAATAACAGTCATACTGAGGTGAGTTATTGAAGATATGCTGAGCTTTTCAGCAGGGTGCTGTTTTTGCTGCTCTTAGTCTCTGTTCACCATGGTTAGTGAAACTCTGAGGCTTAGTGAATAAACTCTCATATGATGTGAGAATGTAATCAAACTTATTACCAGAGAAAAAAGTGTTATTTTTAGACACTTGAGCCTAACATTAATTGGTATAATATTAAGTTATAAACAGCTATTGTTGTTGTTTAGTGTCCTTTTGTCATCTGTCTGGGGACGGGATGTGGCAGTCTAATCTGCTAACAGTAAGTAACTGTGACAATGTTGGGAATGAATAAGCATTTGTATGCATGTTTTCATGTGTTAGAGCCCTGACTTCAAGTTCAGGAGATGATGGTTGAGGTGAGGAAGACGAGGATGACATTTTATTAAGATGCCAGTGGTGATGTCTCTTTCCTTCCCATTGTCATTTCTTTGGTGAAGTGTAACCCCTCTCTCAGAGGATAAAACATATTTATCCATATGGCTTGTAGGTGCAGACAGGAATCGAAATGTCCCTTCAGGGAATTTGAACAGCTACGACTTCTCTTGCCTTCTACCTCTGGCATAGCGCGCACATGCATACATAAAACGCCATTAGTCAGAAGGGAGATGCCTGTCCTGCCCACTGTATTCACAAACAGCGAACCTGCTCGTGCATTTATATATGTATTTTTAATGGATAAATTATTAGTTTATGAGAATGCATCCATTTGTTGACAGAATAATCTATGTACAGTGGGGCAAAAAGTATTTAGTCAGCCACCGATTGTGCAAGTTCCCCCACCTAAAATGATGACAGAGGTCAGTAATTTGCACCAGAGGTACACTTCAACTGTGAGAGACAGAATGTGAAAAAAAAATCCACATGGTAGGATTTGTAAAGAATTAATTCGTAAATCAGGGTGGAAAATAAGTATTTGGTCAATAACAAAAATACAACTCAATACTTTGTAACATAACCTTTGTTGGCAATAACAGAGGTCAAACGTTTACTATAGGTCTTTACCAGGTTTGCACACACAGTAGCTGGTATTTTGGCCCATTCCTCCATGCAGATCTTCTCGAGAGCAGTGATGTTTTGGGGCTGTCGCCGAGCAACACGGACTTTCAACTCCCGCTAAAGATTTTCTATGGGGTTGAGGTCTGGAGACTGGCCAGGCCACTCCAGGACTTTCAAATGCTTCTCACGGAACCACTCGTTTGTTGCCCGGGCGGTGTGTTTTGGATCATTGTCATGTTGGAAGACCCAGCCTCGTTTCATCTTCAAAGTTCTCACTGATGGAAGGAGGTTTTGGCTCAAAATCTCACGATACATGGCCCCATTCATTCTGTCCTTAACACGGATCAGTCGTCCTGTCCCCTTGGCAGAAAAACAGCCCCATAGCATGATGTTTCCACCCCCATGCTTCACAGTAGGTATGGTGTTCTTGGGATGCAACTCAGTATTCTTCTTCCTCCAAACACGACGAGTTGAGTTTATACCAAAAAGTTCTACCTTGGTTTCATCTGACCACATGACATTCTCCCAATCCTCTGCTATATCATCCATGTGCTCTCTGGCAAACTTCAGACGGGCCTGGACATGCACTGGCTTCAGCAGCGGAACACGTCTGGCACTGCGGGATTTGATTCCCTGCCGTTGTAGTGTGTTACTGATGGTGACCTTTGTTACTTTGGTCCCAGCTCTCTGCAGGTCATTCACCAGGTCCCCCCGTGTGGTTCTGGGATCTTTGCTCACCGTTCTCATGATCATTTTGACCCCACGGGATGAGATCTTGCGGGGAGCCCCAGATCGAGGGAGATTATCAGTGGTCTTGTATGTCTTCCATTTTCTGATGATTGCTCCCACAGTTGATTTCTTCACACCAAGCTGCTTGCCTATTGTAGATTCACTCTTCCCAGTCTGGTGCAGGTCTACAATACTTTTCCTGGTGTCCTTCGAAAGCTCTTTGGTCTTGGTCTTGGCCATGGCGGAGTTTGGAGTCTGACTGTTTGAGGCTGTGGACAGGTGTCTTTTATACAGATGATGAGTTCAAGCAGGTGCCATTCATACAGGTAACGAGTGGGGGACAGAAAAGCTTCTTACAGAAGACATTACAGGTCTGTGAGAGCCAGAGATTTTCCTTGTTTGAGGTGACCAAATACTTATTTTCCACCCTGATTTACGAATAAATTCTTTACAAATCCTACCATGTGAATTCATGGATTTTTTTTTCACATTCTGTCTCTCACAGTTGAAGTGTACCTCTGGTGCAAATTACTGACCTCTGTCATCATTTTAAGTGGGGGAACTTGCACAATCGGTGGCTGACTAAATACTTTTTTGCCCCACTGTATGCTTATGGTTACAGTATTTTTTTCTAATAAAAAAATGAAAATTACGGAGTGTAACTTTAAAACAGTAATAAGATACCAAATCACATACATACATACATACTATTTCACATGCTGCACATATGATATTTTCTCTTAGTACATTTCCAAAATCACTGCAGAGGTCTGATACCCCAAAGGTTGAGGCAGCCATGAATCACATCTTATTACCTAGTCATGGCCATTATCACACCAGGTGTTGTTTTGGACGGAACTTTAGGTGAACTCCATCTCAATGCTTTTTTTTCTATCAAATTGGAACCTGTGCAGAGGCATAGGAAGCGAGCACTTAGATCATCTACACCTACAGATCTCTGTCTGGGGCTGGAGTTAGCTCATCTGGCAAATGCAATTGCTTCTTCACATTTTTCCATTTGCTGTTTTCTGCTGTATGACACGATCCATACTGAGACATCCGCAAACTTAAACAAAAGAACCACGACATTCACACATATCAAACTGTCCTTGTTAGGAACCTGATAAAGTAGATTTGGAGTCATGGAAAGCCTTCAGGGAGACTTCTCTTTCTTGATCAGATATGTCATGTAGGTCCTGCTTTTTTGTTGCCTTTACTGTGGAAGAGTGGTTCACCACTCTAAAAGATTCTGGCAGTGTGCATATCAGGCTTTGAATCAACTAATCTGGATGAACCAAAGAAGACAATTGCTTGATGGGAAGGAACGAAACCACCCCTACTGTCTGATTTGAAACCACAACTAGGACAGGTCTGGTATATCTCCACAGCAGTCACAAGAGCTGGCTGGATTTACTTAGGATGGGTCAATAGAACAGGTGAAAATTTCAATTGTTGTTGTTTTTCTCCTAAGCTGCTTTAAGAAAAAATATTTTAAACTCTCACTTTTAAAATGTATGACCTGATCTTCAGATTTCTTTTGGTCTCTGTAGATAATTTCTCTGTTCTGTAGCGGTTACCAATTATCTGCATATAAATGAATGCAAGAACCCATCAATGATATTCACTTCATCTGTGCTGTATATGTTTAAAACTGTAATGAAAACTGTAATTCATATACAACTCTTTTAGATTTTCAATTGCTGAAGATTTCAGAACATATAGCTATTGTATAGGTACATAATACAGGGTATTAACCGACACAGTAGGTCTCAACTACAAATCCCACAGTTCTTTGCCAAGACTTAACCAGATCATATGACCAGGGAGCCGAAGCAGGTGGTTGGATCATATGATGTTGTCAGGCGAAGCTGAGGAAGAGCAGGATCTCTGAATCACTGAATCACAGCCCACATCAATCCCTACATTCAAAGGTAAAACTGGAGGAATCCCTCCTTTTCACCCTGCGTTTTTCAGCCTGTAGTGACTGTTTTAATGCTCCAGCCTCACACCGAGGCAGGAGGAAGAGGGGAGGAGATTAGTAGGGAGGAGAGTAGAAACAAAGATGAGGGGGATGGGAGGCCATCAGAGATGCGAGATGCCTTTTCGTTGCTTTCTGCAGACAACAAGAGAGCAGATGTTTGTTGAAATCTTTCTGCTGTAAACATATTGTGCCTGCAGGCTAAGTGAGGAGCGTGTGCTTGTAATGTTGTATGGATGCCATATTCTTTGAGATGTTCAGAGAAAGGATGGATGTGTGATAGTTATACTCACTTTCTCTTTTAAGAGCTCTCTCTGATAAAAGCTATCTGTTGTGTCTGTGATCATGTCATCCCTGGATAGTTCCTGTTTCCTGCTCTTATTTTTATTATTCTTGCGAAAGTAGGTTTGGGAATTAACCGGTTGCTTTTTGGACAGTGTTTTAGCATTCAGTTTCGTATCATTTAACAATGTTAAGGAGCCAGACAGCCCCTTTAATGGGCCTGTTTTTCAGGCTGGAACATGTTTTTATATTGTGTTTATACTTTAGACTTAAATATGAAAACACTGAAGGGCAGGCGCCCTGGAGATAGGTCACTTTGCTCAGTTTGCCATAGCAATTTAGCATGTCACATGTGTTTATGGGAGTAGATTAACTTTAGGTTTATGTTGCAAATAGATATATCTATTTTCTTTTTAAGTGTTTGATCTTTTAGGGTGGTATGACATGCCCAATATGAAGCTACACTCTATATCTGGCTAGCTTAGCTTAGCATGTAGACACACATAAAGAGTTAGAAACAGCAGATACTTACACCTAAATGACAGAAATGGCTAATAGCTTTAGCAAATTTACTGGGCGAGCATCTCCTGGCTGGAATTTCACAACAGCATAATAAAAAGCCTGTTATTAAGAGGAATTTTGAATCTCTCTAAGAATCCATTAAAAATGGCAAAACCTGCTGGCACCATGGGACTTACATGCTGACAGCTGTGTGTGTAGTACACATGATGCCAGCTAAAGTATCATGTAGTACATTTGCTAACTCTTTCCTAGCAAAAGAGCAAAGACACATTAATCCAGCTAGTAATTTGAAATACTGTAGATGATAAAAGTCTCATATGTGTATCCCCAAAAAAAAGGAGATATTGAACATAAAGACTATTAGAGATCATTTTCTTGTCTTTTCACCATATGAATAGAATAGAATAGCCTTTATTGTCATTGAACAGAGTACAATGAAATTGGACTCCCTCGGTGCAAGATTCAATAATAAATATAAATGTAAAATATAAAAAGTACAATAAAAATATCGCAAGTACTCAAACAATAGTAAGTACGATATATACAGGATAGCAGCATTAATATAATAACAGTATGAATAGCAGCATAATATAATGGCAGTGACGGTATGGTATAGCTAAGCAGGTTCAATTGTTTTTGTGCTTATTTACTACGGTGATAGCTCTGGGAAAGAAGCTATCCCTGAATCTGTTTGTCCTGGTTTTATGTGACCTGTACCGTCGGCCTGACGGTAATAGTTCAAACAGTTGGTTGCTGGGGTGAGAGTAGTCCTTGATGATATTGCCAGCTCTGCTGAGGTACCGAGAGTTTGCAGTGACCTCCAGGCTGGGCAGAGAGCAGCCAGTGATCTTCTGGGCTGTGTTGATGACCCTCTGCAGTACTTTCCTGTCTGCAGCTGAGCACCCTGCATACCATGATGTTATGCCGTACGTTAGGATGCTCTCTATGGTGGCTCTGTAAAATGTCACCAGCAGCCTCTCCTATATGGTAGGCTATATGGTAGGTCTAGATCATAGTTGTGTTATGGGTTCAGTGCTCTTATCATGGAGTTATATTTTGAGAAACTGACTTTCAGTTTTCTTTTTAGAGTTGCTGCTGTATAAGCTGCTGTAGAGCATGCATGGTCTAAAAAAAAAAAAGTAGCTGAGAAAACAATCTGCCCTCAAGGTTCTGGAACTTTTAATTATGTCACATAAGCCTTTGAGAATATGACAACGATGCACCACCGAACAATTGACATCCTGCTACACATCGTTGGGCTGACTCAGTCTCATCTACTGTCATCTACTCTCCCGTTTCTTCCTGTATTTTAATCTGTCTGCTATTTTTTAATGAAGTGATGAAGATGAAGAAAACTTGTTTTGGGATTTAGGCCCCTGTGTGGATTTCTGTTGTTCTTCCAATGGCTTGACAACACTTTTGGTAGTTAATGCATCAAAACAAATTATTACATTTAGTCTTTCTCTGAGTTGCTCGTGGAGGTGGAAGTATTTCAGTAAACTGAATGAGTTACCTATCCTGTTTCTCTTGAGTAAGTGAAAATAAACATAGATTATGCAGTTCCCTTACTCATTGTAATGGTTCTTGTTTTGGATTTTCGGTCTGAAACATTGCAGTTTAGTCCAGTCTCAGTCTCAGTGCTTTTCCAGCCTCATATCTAAAAGCAGTAGGTAGCAGTTTTCAGCTCTGATAAAACCTACTGTGCACCACCTGTCCAGCACCAAACACAAATTTGACACAGCTAGAGTCAAATGCAAAATGTGTGAAAAAAACAGTCAGAAAAAACTGTGGTGTCCTCCACCTGTAAAACCATTCTTGTTTTGGGTGTTGTCTCATTGTTGCCCCTGTATTGAATCTGTTGTGAATTTAATCAAAGCAGCTTAAACTGGTAACACCCCCTCTGCTACTGAAGTGAGCAGACTGATATCTCTGAAGTTGAATTTACTTTTTTGTTTGTGTTCCTTCTGTAGTTCTTTACCCACAAAGTCCGAAAGTCTCAGTTTAGTTTTCTGATTACTTTTAGGATATAACTGGTTAGTTCTGTTTGTGTCCATTTACCCTTAACCCCCGATCCCCACCCCCCACCTTTTTCCTGTTCCATGACTGACTTGTTGTGTCATTGACTTGCTTGTGTATCTCCTCGCCCTATGTTTCCTGTGCTTTTTGTATTTGCATTCCTAGTGATTTTTGGTATTTGGATTGCCTTGCATTGTTCTTTGATGATTTTGGATTTCTGGACAACATTTATCTCTGAACTATCAAATGCCTGTCTCCTGTTCAAATTAATCTACTGTAAAATTCGGGCAGTGTAATATCATAATACAAGTAACTAAAGGTCAAGGTCACTATACTAGTTTGGAAGAATACTCTACTAGTCTAGAACAAATGTTCTGTTGGACTCAATAATTATGTGAGCTTGAGTTGAATTATATGCAAAATAAGCAAGGGGGTTAAAAATACCCAATGACTGCAGTAACTATCGCAATTCCTGTCAAAATGAATACAGTATATTGACTCATCTGATGTAAAGGATGAAATCTGAACTAAAACACACCCAGAAATTCAGCTGTGTCAGCATGACATGACAGCTTAAATCTCCATTTCATTTGTAATGTTTACATATGGCTCCTATTCAGAACTGCCATCTGCTGTGGTATCTGCACAAATACATGATCATGCCTTGACATAACAGTTACAGCCCCAGTGCGTAAATAATTAGCTGTTGTTTGTCATTGCGAGATTATCCCAACAGTGAAACAGTGGGTAGATCTATTGTCCACTGGCTATCATGCAGGTAACAGTAAACAACTGTTTATTTATATTTTCCTCCATATTTACTGACAAGTTCTGCCAAAAAAACAAACAAAAAAAATGGACAGAATGGTTTGCTGACTAAAATCTGATGTATTTCTAAACAGAAAATCACTCTCTCTCCCCCACCAGCCTGAGCATTGGGTTATTCTGTGTTTTTTAATACATTTTTAATAGGTTTTAGGAAACAGCCTGTAACCATAGACTGTATATAAAACAAGGATCTAGTGACCCTGACATCAGCTTTTGGTTTTGTAATGTGCCGAAAAGACTGTTTGAATCAAAAGTTGGAGTACTAGTTATCAGCTAATGCTAGATAACTAGATTAAGAGTTTGCATCCAGTCTATGGGTACAATACAGAGACGACCATACCTGCTAGCCACAGACCTTTAAACATAACATTTTTACTTACCAAAACTCAAAAACTCAAGTAAACCCTGCTTGGAACATTTGTACCACATCATATTTTTCAGATATATGCACATTTTTCACATTTCTTTCATCTAAGAAATATTGTAAAATACAAAAAACAAACAAACCTCTACACCTTGGACCTTTTAGTACATTTTCATTTTCTCCCATGCAGTATTGTAACTCACTTTTCATGATTACCACTCAAGCCTCCTTGCACCTGAACTGGTTCAGAATGCAACAGTTATAATGTTTTAGCAAAAACTAGCAAGCAATAACCTATCCCCCTTGCTTATGGTACCCTTCACTGGGTTTCAGTGAAATTCAGAATTTACTTTGCAGTTTTATTAATCCCATAGCAAGCATTTCATGAGAGGCAGGAATGGTATTTCAGCAGTCTAATCCTTCTAATCACCTGACCACGGCCGTTTAACTGTAAGACACATTTTAATTCCAGAGGCGATCACACTTTTGAGGTTGTAGCTCCTAAACAGGTCATCACTTCATTCACTTTAATTAACTGCTAGAAAGTTGTTCTTATAGATTTACTTAAATATTTTTCTGTGGTTCACATTGTTGCTTGTATGTCAGTATGTATGTTTGAATGTATATAACAACATGTGTACATATATATGTACTGTATGTTGGATAAGGGATGAGTGCATTTCTTAAATGTCTTAATGTTCTTAGAGAATTCAGTGGCCTAAGACCTGCCTATATGGTCATGATATTGTGTGTTTTTTGACTCAAGAAGTGACAATAAGCTTAAATAAAATTCTGTCATCACAAGCTCTGGTACTTTAGGTATCTGATGAAAATCCCACTCTCTCACATCCATCTGGGAAAACATGGCACTCTGATGCTGGCAATGCTTCAGGTTGGGTGGAAGTTATGTGGGAGGAGATTGTGCAGGCTATGCTTGCTAC